CTCACCTTGTACATCACAATTCTTGGGAGATAATTGCTACCTTCATTTTCACTTTTGTATGTGTTTGTGCCGGAAACGGCAATAGAATAACCAACTCTTTCTCTTCATTTTTATTCAAAATTATTAATACCATATAAGACATTTGTGTAAATGTGGTTAACCTTAATCCCTCTTTTAACTGTCTACTCCTAACCTAACCACAACTAATATACATTTATCCGGCAATGAGTTTGGGTTATGTCCACCCTAGTGAGCCGCCGTGAAGTTCATACACATAGGTGGTCGAACCTTAGCCAGAGCAAGCAATGAAAAAGGTAGAATCCAGAGGCCATCTCCACATATCAAACCTGATGCAACAGCTAAAACCATCAACTCTGCCTTCTTTTGGTTCACCTTCTCCCAAACGAAAACCACGAGGCTCCCAATACACATATCAAATGCATATGATCCACCAACCAAGAACGGCACAGCCATTGCCATTGGGAATCAGACCACTTCCATGGCCTCTCTGGTAAGAGGTTGGTAGTCTAACTAGAAGTCTCGATTGGTAGTCTAACTAGAACTCTCGATTCTTCTGGTGAGCAGGTGAATTCAGTGTACTTGGCTATTTCTACCTCTATGTTAGGTATCCTTGAGCAAGGGGCAGGCCCTAAGATTGAATGAAAATGGATAACAGCCATTGATGCAACATCAGCAGGAGTTATGGCCACCACACCATTAAGGTCAGTAAGTGAGAGGATAACATTGTAAAAGTTTCTGGCCTAAGCAACCCTGTGAAAGTAGTTTGTGTTCTGAACCCCGACCTTGAGCCAGTTTATCCTTGATTTCTATTGGAAGTAAGCCTCTTCAATCCCTTGAAGCATAGATAATTTTTGTAGGGCTAGCCTTTCCTCTAAGAAATTTGCCTCTGTGGGATGTTGTAATGTTGTAACCTGCACAATCTTAAGCAAACTGTTAGCCTCACAAACTCTCTTTTGTATTTCTGAGAAATTGTCTTTATTAAGTCTCTTTAAGGCTCTTTTGATCTCTTTCTYTTTTAGGCTCAAGTAARTGAGAGAGCAATCCTCTGTTTCAGATATAACCCAGGAGTTGGCTAAGGTAAGGAGGAAATCAGGATGGGAGGTTAGGTAATTGAAGAATTTAAAGGGTTTGGTTCCAGCAGGAATGATAGGACATGCCAAGTCAATGAGGCAAGAGGGCATGGTCAGAAAGCAACCCAGGAGGATGGAAATGGGCACTACTTTGAGAAAACGTGAAAACCCATTTTTCGTTCACGAGGGCTCTGTCTAACTTTTTTGCAGTAGGGTTGACAGGCTGCTTGTTCGACCAAGTAAATAGTGGGCCTTGATATCTGAGGTCTCTAACTTCGATGTCATCCAGACAAGTTTTGAAGTTTATCATCTGAGCAGATAGGTGATTGAGAGTTGGTGAAGAGTGCTCTGCAAAGTGGGTGATTTCATTGAAGTCTCCGGCAATTATCCAGGGAGTAGAATCAGTATGAACCCAATTGATTGACAAGAATCAGGTCATCCCATAACTTCTCTCTTTCAGCTGGAAAATTAGAGGCATAAACTGTAGTTGACAAAAAGGGTGGAGTCCCAGGCCTGAAACTTTACAAGTGATCATCTGCTTTGTTTTGTGAAGGATGGACACAACCATAGGAAACTTCCAAATGAGCCCATCATCATCCTCAGAATGGTTAGAGAGGTAAGACCACTGAGGGCACATGCTCGACATAACTTGGTTTCTTTTATGTGGGTTTCCAAAATAGCTCCGAATCCGACATTATTTACATGTAGCAAGTTCAATAAAGGTTGATGCTTATCATAGTCATTGATGCCTTTGACATTCCAAAAAAGTAGTTTTATCGACATAAAAATGGTTTAGGTTGAGGACTTCCCTTTTGCAAGAGAAGAACCCATGAGAAGAATAATAGGGGTAGACATTTGATCCAAGAGATTAGCAAAAGACTGGACTGGGTCTGGGAAGAGATTTGTGGTTGAGATAGGGGGAGTAAAAGAGGTGGAATTTGGTATGGTAGGCAATGGATTAGAAGGAGAGGTAGGTTCAATGTTTAAGTGGCTGCCCAAGTCCCTGGTTTTCACAGGAAGAAATGGTTAGTTGGAGAGATGAGGAGACAAACTGGGAAGAACTGAAAGGAGTAACAAGACTAAGAGAGTCCGGATTAAGAGTAGCTAGGCAGGAAAAAAGTTTTTTGTGGAGTAGGGACCAAACGATCATATATTGTTTTATAACGTCACCATTTATTAGTATGACTACACGTTTTGAATATGGTTCATAACTAACCTAACTAATTGTAACGTTTTGGATACACATTATGAGTTGTAATCTGATAAGAGTTGAATCTCACATCCTAAGATTTTTTTAGTTTGTGAGATTTATTTCGTGTCTCACTCATGTTCATGTAATCATTACATGAATTTATGAAACCAGGTTGTGTACGTAAAAACTATTGTAGTTAGGTTGTTAAGGGGTTCTTAAGGGTTTTT